AAACAAGAAATAATCTATCTTACTTAATAGAAGAGCAGCTACATGCCCCCTTGTGTGGTAGATAAGCATTACATAATTAATCTAATCTTGCTAAACGTGTTAAGAATCTAACTAGCCCTATAATAGCTAGAGATCTAGTTTAACTGTAAACTCACCTTTAAGTGGCATGTAGCCACACATGATGCAAAAGCAGCTAAGGTAGCCTACTATATCCACAGCCTAGCAAACACAGCCTACAGACCACTAGCTAGCTCCCTTTGCAAGGCTACCCTCGCCTGCGTATACCTGTCTCTTCTGTATGGGGCTGAGTGCTAGTACAGAGGCTGTACTAAACCTCCACGTAGGCTGGCGGAATGGGTATACTCCAACGTCCTTCGTGGGTACCCCCCAAAACTTTGTCAATAATACATGGATTCTAGCGAAATATGGCTTAAAAGAAAGAGAAAAACTACCTCTACATTTCTATAGTAGAAGGTTTTGTTATAACTATTAAACTGCACAAGCTAGAGGCTGGAAAACGTTAAAAAAGGGGGGGTACCTAGCAAGCATACCCATTGATAGGTATACTTTGCTAGGTAGTGTTAATAACTTAGCTAATACTAGGCAGAATAAGCTAATTCTTTTTTTATTAGAAGGCGCAATACTAGGCGCTTCTATTAAATAATAGATTATGTAAGCGTATCTCTGCTAGTTAAGAAGCTATAAGCCAAAACGTAAAAAAGCATACCCTACCCATCCGCCAGCCTACCTCCACGTACACTTAAACCTAGAGGACTAGCAGAAGTTAGCACCTATGTTGGGAAGCACAAAGCGGTTATAGACAAAACACTAGCTATAGTAGCAAGAGGCATCCTCCTAGTGTGGCGAACAACCCCTATTGCTACTCTCTTCCAAGACGCTGGACTACCCTCTGCTGCCACTGCGCTGGAAGAAGCCAAACTCTGCTTTGCAACACATCTACGCACAGTAGATACAGAATATCTACTTGCTAACTGCACAGCAGCTATAAGGATGAGCATAGGCAGGTTAGCTAGAAAGCTGCAGCAAATGCAGACCAAGGTCTAGTATCTAGGATCTCTTCTACCTAAGATACCTTAGACAATACTATTAGCCCCTTACTACTTACCTAGCTACTGCATAGACCCTACTATAGGCATAGACAAAAAGTCTACAGCATAGGCTTTCTAAGAATAGTAGGCTAACCTTCTACCTTAGGATATTACTATCTTCTTAGATAGCTCTAAATAGTACACAAAGAAACAAGAAAAGTAGGTTACCTATAGCTTTACTGTGTATTAGAATAGAAAGCAACTGCAGACAAGATGCAGCTTACTCTACTCTACCTTACACCTCTTTAATGCTAAGGCAACTAGAGCGTAGAAAGGCCTCTAGCACACTATCGGACAATTAGCGCTCTGCACGCGCCAAATCTGGCTATGCATAGACAGCACCTCAGTTATATAGTGCCTTAGGGGCGACGCACCCCCTACCTTATAGTGGGCCTTCCTAGAGTGCCACGGTGCCATAGAGACACACAACGTCTCAATTAAATAGGCCCCTAGGCACCTAGGCATTAAAGGAAACGAAGCTGCAGACATACTTGCTAACCTAGAAGCCAAGCACCTATCACCCCTAACTATAATGGCGGCTATGCCTACACTCTCAGCCATCAAGACAATAGCTTTCAAGATGCTACAGCACACGCAATAAACATAGTAGTCTAATAAGAAGACTAAGCTCTTAAAATAGTATAATAGCTAGGATCTTAACTATACACTACACAGTAGACTACCTAAACTAGACCTACTAAGAGCTACCCTAGCTAGACTACTCTTAATCTAATCTATGCACAGTAACTTTGCCTAGTACTACTGTCAGATGCTCGTACTGTGAGCCAGAGTATGTGCTTAACGAGATCTTAGGTGGTATGATGATTTATTGATGATTGTCGCGATGGTGTTTCTGGTGCGCGTCGTGCTAATTGCTACAGGATTGAAGTGGGGGGGGGAATTAGCGCTGTTCGCGGCCGCCTGTGTGCGGGCCAATCAGGAGTTGCCAGGTCTCGCTTAATCGACCTAGCAACTGCTGATTGGCTGCGCGACAGGTCCCTGCTCAATTGCGCAGATCTAACCTCTCACTACTTGCTCTTATCTAACACACCCCCTTTAGCTTAGAAACTTTTTAAGCTAACTAGTTATGTGTGTGTAAGGTCCTTAATTTGTTCTTAAATCCTGTCTAGAGGTATGCTGTTTAGCACTTCTATTAACTCCCTATTTACTAGACTAAGTTACTAGAGGAAACCTTCCTACTTATTTACTAGGAGTACCTTTGTAAGTCTGTCTGCTATTATACTTATAGACTAGACATGTTCTATAATAATCTTTCTACTAGCTACCTCCTATTAGAGCTAGTAGTTGTAGATATCTACATACAAAAGTTTAGTATATAGTTATAACACTTCCTTAGTAACTAGTTAAATTATTTATTTATTATTTTATTATATTATAATAGTGTGTGTGCCTATATTAATGTGTAACTTGCACAAGAGCCTTAAGATAAAGATTGCTTCTTTTATAACCTAGGTAAGAGTAAGAAGCTTAGCCTTAGTTATTAATATTGTTACTGTGTCCTGCTTGTTTACTTTCTATTTAATAAGGCTACTAAAGAGTTTAATTGCGTAGCCTTAGGAGCTCTTTCTGTCTATAGTGTTGTTAGTAAAGGACATGTTATTTGCTACCTAGAGGCTAATGCCTCCTCTAAGCTGCAGTGATCGCTGTTTAGTGTTAAGTAGATACAGAAGGACCCAGTCCGCAGCATCTTGGTGGCTGATGCCTAGATTGGTGAGGAACCGGGCAAGCGTTGATGTGGCAAACGCAATGTCAGGTCGCGTGGTGACCGCAGCGAACAGCAGTGATCTAATTTTGCGGTACTTTAAAGTACTCCTTAAATAATATAAGAATAATTAATATAAATATAAGAAGGAGGAAGTAAGCCTTTAGTATATTATTATATTTATCTAGTTAATTGTGTTACTATATCTACTAAACATATACTGTCTTCCTAAGAAACTACTATAACAGTAGAATACAGACCTACAACTTACTATTAGGGTTAATAAATAAATTAAATAAGAACAAGCCTAAGATAGATACCTCTTAGCACTTAAGCTAATAAGAAGCACGTCACAATAGGATATCTAGCTAGCTAAGTATAACTAGGTAGCTACAGAAGCAGAGATGTACAAAGTTGCTAAATTATTACAATTAAATGTAATAACAGAGGACTTCCTAACAGCTGTGAACAGGGTCGCGCCTCTCTAGGCTACAAGCTTTCAAGATAGCAGAAGCTTTAAATCTAGTATAAGTTAGAAGGAGATAATAAAACGCTACAAAGAGCACATCATAATAAATTATTGTTGCAGCTAAAATAGAGGCAAAATGTACATACATTTGCACCCCTGAATTGGCTAGTAAATAGGCATGATATGTATTGCAACACACCCCCTTACGTCTAACTAGGACTGCATAATTAGAGGTAACACAACACAGTAGAATGCCTAATATACTAAGTAATAGATAAATCCTTCTTTGTAATGCTCTATTGCTGTAGATAGCACGCCAACAGAGCAGGTACTATGCCAAGACCCTTAGCTATAGTCACCTATGGAACACGAAAATCTATTCAACCTCTGCTTGCACAGTTTCAGTGTCTAGGCTTATAACTGTTGCAGCCAAAATAGAGACAAAATGTACATACATTTGCACCCCTAAATTGGCTGGTAAATAGGCATGATATGTGCTGCGACAATTATCCTCTTAGATTAGGGCGGCACAAGGCCTTTGTGGCTTGTAATGCAGTGTTTCTTGCTAAAGGGGGTGCAGCATCCTAGAGCTATAAAGGGAACGCCTAACATGCTGTAAGCACGCTACCTAACTAGGGCAGACCTTAATATTAATGTATAGTAGGTAGGAAAACTACTATACTTAAGCAGCCTTTAGATTAAGAGCCTGCGTCTACTAGGGGAGCAAAATGCCCTATATATAGATAACAGTACTCTATATAGGATTACTACTATATTAATTAAGGTAGATCTCCTAAGTAGTAGAAAGTAAATAATATTATTTCTAAACTTATTTAGTTTAAGTGTAAGAAAGATATTACCTTTTAAGGGCTACTTTGCACACAAAGTAAAAGTTAATTAAGAATACAAGTGTAATGGTCTAGACTCTAAAGCTAAAGAAGAGCTAGAGCTAGCCAGTTACATTAGCTTAGCCGGCTTGGCTTAAGCTGGATATATATTATCTACGCAGTTAACTAGACGTCTAGTTAACTTGTGCATGCTTTAGTTATAGCAAAAGTTGTTAGGAAGTAGATATTCTTTATTGGCCTTTGGCCAGACTACTACAACTAGTAGTCAAGCACTTACATACCCCTACCCTAGAAATCCTAGACAATTAACTAGAAGGCTAAGAAATTTCTAATATTAAAGTAGTACTTAGTGCAGTAAATTAATAGAGGTAAGGTAGGGTTATATAATATAATAGACAAGTTATTATATTAGATACTAGGTAGGGGTTCCTAGGCTAGGTACAGAGCAAACAGAGGGGGGAGAGCCAGAGGTATTTATGCTTCCTCTCCTTCTGTCTGTATTTCTAAGCAGAACGTTCTAGACTCCTCTAGGTAGGTCTACTTTATCTATGCTTAGTATTGCTGCATATGCAAGCAAGATTACGTAGGTGCATGCGTAATTGTATACGTCAGCATCTCACAGAGTAGGCTACTCTATTTGTAAGCAGAGGGTCTAGAACATTTCTAGTTACTATAAATAGAGAACAGCATATCTTAAGAACGAGAGGAGATACATGCTTTGTAAGCACACCATTCTAATCCTCTCTTCTTGGAGATCACAATAGCAATGCTTAGGTAAGCATAGCGCTATACCTAAGAGGGAAATACGCTAGATAAAGAATATAAGAACAAAGTCTTATAACTTTACATAACTAAGATCTAAACTTGTAGGTATTGCTTAGAGTCTTCAACTGCCACAGCGTCTCTGGGAGGAGGGGTTCTAGCAGGGTACGCAGGCGCACTTTAAGGCGATCTAACACAACCTGCGTGTTAAGAGGGACTAGCCCTACTTAGGCTGGCGGAATGGGTATACTCCAACGTCCTTCGTGGGTACCCCCCAAAACTTTGTCAATAATACATGGATTCTAGCGAAATAGGGCTTAAAAGAAAGAGAAAAACTAC